CCATAGCGACCCTGTATAGGGTTTCCGAGGGTGTAAATCTTTACGGGAGTAGAAAGCCTCATCTTTCTCCCGCGGAACAGCTGGTAGTTTCGAACCGCTGACCTTAAGGTTCGCAGCCCGATTCGTAACCACTGCGCTACCAGAGATCATCATATCACACAGGGCAGAGAGGGAGGAGGCTGCCCCTTTGCCCTTATATGTGCGCCTGAGATTCTCAAGTTGTCGCTTATCTGGTACAATCTGTAGTTCTCTCTCCTGGTCTCTTGAGAGCAAAGGGCACAGACCCAAGGTATTGTCAGCCCAAAGGATGCATTTCTGTCTCCAAGAGACAACGCTCTCTGAAGGTGCAGTTCTAAACACCACCACCAGGGGCATCATGCCCAGTTCTGCCAGTCAGGATTGGCGGAGCACCAAGATTGTTTACTTACAGCTGTTTTTTTGTTTTGTTTTTTAAATGTTTAAAACACCATCTGTCATCTAGAAGCAAGATTTCTCAGACCAGGTTTGGGCTGGCCCATTGGGCAGCATTGTAATTTGTATCTTAGAAGCAGAGCAGCATGACGTCATCATTGGGCTTAAGGAAGGCAGCTTCCTTCTTGCCTTTTTGGGACCCTGCTGCCACGGAGACCAACCCAGCCGCCTCGTTCCAGATGAGGGGCCCATTCCAGCAAATGACTCAGACATTGGCTCGGCTTTAGTCAACATCATGGATGTGGACATGAGCCCTTCCATTGAACCAGGTCCAGACAACCAACCCACAGAGTTATGTGCACACCAACCGTTGCTCTTTGGAACCATTACATCTTGACTGGGCTTGCTCTTTAGCAAAAGGTGCCCAATAGAGCCTGTTTCCCCAGCTTTAATTCGGAGCTGACCTGGCCAATGAGGACACCAGCAGCATAGCTTTGACCCTAGTCATGGGCTTCCCTCCTGCATCTCGACCATTGTCATGAGAAGGACATACTGGCCAGTCCACTTGTTCCAGAAGAACAAGCCCATAGCCTGGCTTGGGCTTGGGGTGTTTTTCTATTGCAGCAGTAACTGACCTATGCGAAAGCAGGTGTAGGACACTAGTCTAGATGAGTAGGAATGTGTAGCTGAACAACCTCCAGTACCAAGGCACACAGGGTTCTAGAGGCATAATGAGCACTCAAGGCCAATCTCTAAGTTTGTCCCCTACCCTTCCAGCTGGCCTCTTAGAAGCGTGGTGGGGGATACTGATGCTTTGACCAACCCTGCCTGACACCCTCTTGGACTTGTGTCTGGGGGCAAGTGCCCCTCTTTGTCTCCCTGTACACCTGACAGTTCCTACTCTGTAGTGGGGCCCAGCCTTATAGAAATGGTATGATCATGTGAGCGTCACTGGTAAGGGAAATAAATTAACCTCCCCCCATCTCCCCAGGAGCTACAGGCCTGTTGTCACTCCACAAATAAGCTGAAGACAGTGGAGATATCACCTCAAATATTCCTGGATCCCATGGTCTCCTCCTCCTCTCCTTTCGGCCACCATGGAGCAAGGCAAGGGTGCCAAGAGTCAAGGCCAGAAGGTGGACTGGCACTTTATAGACACCAGTTCCAGGGCCAGCTCCACCACACACCTTGGTAATATCTTTCCCTTCTCATTCTCAGACAGCCTCTGTGGCCTCTGAAGTCTCTGCAAACATGAGATCGGTTTGTCCTGACTAGAGTAGGGCCAGTTCTGCTTGGGACTTGCTGCCTTGAGCTTAGAGACCTCACTCTGCCTGGGAGCCTCCATTATAAGGCTCCAACCCCATCCTGACTTCTGTTTCCTTCATACCCATAAATTTTAGAAACTTAGCCTACATTGTTTCCATCCTTTGGTGCCCAGCTGACTTCTGGCCTTGCTCCTGAGCTCTGTCTGGATGTCCTGTTTGCAGCCCTTCTTATTTAGAGCTTGGCTTTACCTCCCACCCATTCTGACCCTCAGATCCTCAGGCAGCTTACTTGAACCTGCCTCCAAGCCTCTGGGCTCTGGTCCCTGGTACCTTCCCGAGTTGTTCGGCTTGGCTCCAGCCTCCCCAGTCCTCTGCCTCTGGAGCTCTGGAGAGAGGTTCACTTGACTTCGTCCCTTGAGCTTGTTCTCACAGAAGTACGCACATTGCTTGGGATGTTGTCCACAGATGGAAGCACAGCTTATGCAATCATTTAGGAGATGGTCATAGTATTTGCCTGGCTCCTTGTGGCAACCGAATGACTCTGGGAAACAGAAATGAATGATGACAAAGATTTGCAGTTAGCGGTGGGTCTGGTCTCAAAAGACATAAAAGTTTGTTTTGTTTTATTTAAAAAAAATTATGACTAATTGCAACTGTTACAACTATAAAGGCAGAAGTTTTATAACAAAAATGGAGTAGTTAATCTTACAGGACTCTAGGACCATCAAGGGAGAAGAGCACAAGCAGAATGCAGGTCCCTATCCAGAGAAGCAGCAATATCAGAGATGGAGGCAGAGATGTGGACATGGAGAGAGGGAGCAGCTGAGGACTCTGGACTCATGGAAAGAGAGGGACTGGGTGCTGGCAGCCAGGAGG